CCAATAACGACATCGCGCGGTATTATTAACCCATCAATCTTAATGAATGAAGGTGATGTTTTATTACGTAGCATATCTAGGACACGTGTTGCTTTAATTGAACTACGTTATACTCGTAGGCACGATTCCGCTCCGTAGTCATAAATAAATGTGTATCCGCCAAAAGAGTAGATTGTAATTACCTAACGAAAACATATGAAAACAAAATTATAAAAAATCGAAATTGGGTTGCTTTAGAAGAATAATGGAACACAAACCAGCGATATTTCAATATATTTTTGAGTCCGTCTGGTACATTTTTCCTATCAAACCACTGAACCGATTTTGAAGATATTCGGTATAGAAATAGTTTCAACCATAGGTTAGAAATACGGGACAGGTTTATCTTACTGCAGAGCACGGGTCTCCACCCACGCGATAATAAGTATTGCCTACACTACGGGTAGCTAGCTAGTGTAAGCTAAACCTATGTAATTATATTATCCAGCAAAGCAAAATGTAATATTAAACAGCTTTGAGGAATTTTGTATTTGAATTTTTATAATTTGTTTTTATTTAAAGTTAACGTAAAGGTATTAGAAAGAAATATATAAAACGCGATATTCACACAGCAAATGTTTGTTTGTTCATCTTCTATAGTTATTGTTTTTGTTCCCAATGATGCAAGTTACAATGACAATCGCTTCAAGTTACCATTGTTGATTGGAATTCTAGTGCCATTAATGTGAGCTACGTATCGAGAGTATAGTTTCAACTTGTGCATTTCACATTTAGAGCTTTAGTCAAAGCAAAGCATGGTCGGGATTTACTACTCGAATTACCGAAATAAATAACTAATATCACATACGTATTCGTCTCGGATTGTTTTAAAAAGCATGAATGCGTTTCACATTTTTAAGCATACTTTTTCTAATACAAGGCAGTCTGTTCGTGATAGCGGCTGGTCTCACAGCAGAGTGGGAACACGAGGCCTCTCGTATCGCGGACCCAGCCCTGTCTGCGTGTGCTGCTATCGTTCTCGTAGTATTCAACTATCCATTCAGTAAGTATACTCTACAGGTCAAACACCGACCAAATACTTTATCAACCGAATTAACTTTCAAAAAAGCAGGGGGTTTTCAATTCGACTGTTTTCTTTTATGTGCCCTGACACAAAATATTTTTCTGGGTGAACCGATTTCATTGATACTTTCTTCATCTGCTACTTTGAAAGCGAGTTCTTTTTTTTTTCACCAAGGCAGTTGGGCGGCAAAAGCTCAGTCAGTAGGGGTGGGATTTGCTAACAGCTACCCGAACGCCTATCTGATACTTCTCATTTAGTCCCATTTAATGTTTATGAATGTCTAACCAGTTGTTTTGAGTTATATAGATACTTAATAATGCATGTTTATTTGACTCTGACTACAATGGTGATATTCTGATTTTAATTAATCAGGTTTTCATTTTTGTAAAATATTGTTTAATAAACTGTAATTCAACTGTAATTCAGTATACGACTAAGAACAATGTGTTATAAGCAAATATTTAATATATTGCACCACTCAAATTGCAAATTTTATTGCAAAGATTTAACGAGTCGAATTCTATTCTCGTAAAATTTCATTGCCTCTAATTAAACATTTAACGTTGGCAAATACATAATAACCTTATTCTAGTAAGTTCATAGAAATGACTCTACAACGTCACTACGTAAATATTGTCTGCAGTCAATAAACAATTATTCTCATTGAATCCTCGGTGAGCATTTGCAAATTGTTTGTTAGCTATTTTATGTTTGTGTAAAAAGATAATAATTTTAATTAGGTTATCTTTATGTTGACGACACCGATAAATTCATTCATAGATAAAGGTAAATAAAGTAAGCTACAAGCGAATACATATTAAAAAAAAAATCAGTTAAGCCCTATTAAGAAATAATTTGTTTATTATCTAAAAATTATTACAAGCGGCTCTTTAAAACGATAATGATGCTAAATCACTTCGAAATATGTGACTTAAGTCAGTAATTGAATTTTTATTATGTTACCAACAAAAGTACCTATTATAAAATTACACGGGTGGCACAAACATGTTCCTGAGCGTGTTCTTTCTTCCTCTAATTCATTTTAAAATAATAACAAATATAAAAGCGATAAACGCAAATCGCATTTCAATTCAATAAAAATATTATACAAGTGTTCCAATAGTCGTGTGTTTTTGATACGTACGCGGAAACTGCCATTTGCGCTCAAATTCAAGAAACAGCTTTTTTTTGGGATAAGTATATTCCGGTTGGCCGGGATGCCTTTTCAGCTCTACTAGGATGATTCAGCAAACTCGAGGGCTCAGCCGCGAGTGGGTAGGTTCGGTAACAACTACTTGAAAGCCTCCCACTTAGTCCTAACAGTTCAAGCTCTGTTGCGAATGAATCTACCAGTGAATCGGAAACACAACCACCAGAGAAGATCCATTTTCAAACTCAGCAGAGCTCATGACATGAGTTAAGTGTCACGTCGAACTCTTCGACGAGTACTGTTAACTATGCCTTAGATGAAGCAAGCGAACTTTATTTTAACTGTACTTGGTGGGTGGCGCATTTATGTTATAGATGTCTATGGGCTCCAGTAACCACTTAACACCAGATGGGCTGTGAGCTCGTCCACCCATCTAAGCAATAAAAAAAAAGAACTAGTAGTGTCTAACAGCCCCAAACGGGTGAATCTGTAATGACGAGTCAAGGGTGAGCATGGTTGTTAACTGCTGCATATGACGGGTCAGGGCTGTGGTCATCCGCCGCTTTCGGAACCTTTCTAGAATGATCCCTCCACACCTTCTATAAGAGCATATGGATAACATGTTTATATATTTTTATTTGTTTTACACTATCTTTGGAGTTTTGTATTAAACAACAGTATTGTCTTTCAGTGCGTTCTGCTGGTCTTGTGCTCCTTCAAACCGTGCCTGAAGGTCTAGGAGCATGCGACTTGCGAAGCGCCGCGCTGCGCGTCCCAGGAGTTTTCGCTATCCACGAACTGCACGTGTGGCAACTTCACAGGGATAAGGTGGTTGCCACGGCACACGTCATTTATGGAACGCACGAGGTAAACAAGCTACAGAACCTTTGGTTGCTCAGATCTAAATTAATATCTGGTGTAAAATCCACTGCTGACCAGCGTACTGAAAGGTTACATATTTTTTCTCGTTTCATAGGATTATCTCAAGAATTCAGCTCTAGTATGTGATGTTTTCAAACGCCACGGAATCGGGCTGGTCACTCTGCAGCCAGAATTCATGCTCACATCATCACGAGGTAAGCACTGTGACAGTGAATAATCTAATTTGGTTCGAAAACTTAAAGACATTGTTATACCATTTTAGGTAGCAGTCTGGCCAAACCTTTTTGGTTAATGAGCGATTGTGATCACTAATCATCAAATTTGCAGTAACTCTTATTCGTAGGCAATTTCAAAAATTGGTAATAGGCATAAAGTAATCTTTACGCGATGTAGCTGTAATTGAGTTGAATGACACGTTCTGACAAACTGTGGCCTCCGATCGCCTTCTAATATTAGCATTTTCAAACAGGTACGGAAGAAGAAAAGAAGGAATTAATAGCATATGGAAACTTAGGTTGTTCCTGTCCTTGCGTTAAAGAATGCACCGGTCCTCGTTGCTGCGAACCCCCAAACATACCACCTATTATACGAATTTAAAAACCATTTGTAAAATAAGGATCCTCAAAATCTTGCCTTTAAGTAACTTTTACTAAATAAATTATTTTTAAATAGTTCTTAGAAGAAATTAAAATACTGAGATGCGCTTTTCTAAAAGTGCGTATTTAGGTCATAATTAAATATGTTAAACTTTAACGGGTTGCCAAGAAATGTAATGTAAAGATTTATGAAAATCCTATGAAGCTCCTTCATATAATAAGTACTTCCCTCCTCCGCTAATGGATAACGAAATGTACAAACACTGCTCGAAGTAAAAATTTAAAAATTTAAATTGACCTCTCGAATTCTCGTCATTACCCATTCACAACTCTTTTCTTTTTCTTTTCAATAATATTTTTATTGAAATGTATGTAATCTATGTCTGTTGTTTTGATTTAATTATATACGTCTGACATTTCACATTCATAATGGCGCGAAAACGGGCTTTTTTTGTTACTTACAATAATGATCGTAATTTGTAGCCCACGCCCGTTAGGTACCAATTTGCACAAATCGTACTGCATCACAATCACAAACCAAAGAAATTCGTCCGAGTATCGCTGTTAAAGGTGAAATTTCTATTTTGCTGCGGTAAATAAAGAACTGCCCACAGTGAAAGTGAAATGAATAAAAACATAGTACGTGATGCCACAATGCTACAGCGAGTAGCGACTCATTTCCCATTGTTGTAATAAAATCACCGAGCAACAATACCATGTAATGTACAACAAAGACAACGCCATATTTTTCCTTGACAAGAATTTGTATGATATAGAACTCCGTTTGTCGTTAATTTAAACGACATTTTATTATGTAGTTAGGTTATTTGTTGGAAATACGTCATAATTTGCTCAATATATTGCATTATTTTACAGTTAATTGTTTTGAATTAATTTTTACTTCGTGTTTTTTTAGCAAAGATTAACAAGAATAAACAACCAGGATCATTTACGTATTATTTAATTTGAATCACGTGTAGAAAGATACACTAAGTCACTATTTATATTGTAAAATTTTAAAATTATTCCTATGTTTATAAATCAACAAGGTGCAACAACACTATATAATAGTTGAGATTCTTATTGAATCAAAATGGTTATTTGATATTCTTCAAACAGACGCGCTGTACAAATTGTGACTGTGATGTTTCTTTACAGTATTATTTAAGGAAATTATTTTTTAATTTTCGTTTTTAAAAACTTATTATTTAAGTAATAGGTAAATAACATATATGTGTACAAAGTTAAGTTGAAATTACCCAACGTGAAAATAAATAATCTTAATCTCTTATGATTTTTCATTCGTAAAATATTTATTAAACTTGTAGGAAGCCCTTAACTATCAGTGACGAAATATTCCCGACAGTACATCAAACACTGATTGATAAAATGGCGTCGATATGTTGACATTTTCAATCAGTCGTTTAAAATACTAAATAAACAAATAGATAACAGGTCGGGAGTATTATAATTTATTTTATACATTATGAAATAGAAACAGGAATTCATTTGAATATGCAAATGATAATTCGATTAAGAGATAACGTAGCCATGTACTTGACACAGATAACGAAATACCTTGACCTCTTAGAGTTATTTTTGAATCGTTTAGTGATGAACTAGAGTCGGTTAGACTAAGAGCGGCCATGCTTATTTATTTTATTGTTGGGTGAATGATCTCACGGCTCTCCTGATGTGAAGTGGTCACTGGAGTCACGTTGAGGTATTAAATCGAATTCTCAGTTGTCAATAATTAGATTATTAGGTGTATCTATGTAATTTATTAATGACTACAATTATTATAACACAAATATGAGATTCTTGGAATTGACATAATAACGTTAAATAGTCATAAATCACAATCTCTCTGAACTTGTCTGTAGGTATAAGATACTATTTCTATAAAATTTTGAAGTTCTAATTATAAAAGATTACTTTTAAGGATTAATAATTAAGGAGGGTCTACAGTGTTTTATTCATAAGTTAAACTATTCCTTAGAGTATTATCTTTGTCGATGGTCGAGTCTGTTGTGGGAGCCAGAATAGCGTTCCGACACTGGACTGGCCTGCAGGAGCGACTCTTCACAAGCCTTCGACATGAAGTCCCCAGACCTGAGTCTTTACTCTGTAATAACACAACAAAGTTTAGTTCCTATGCCGGAAAAAGTATTAAATTTAAATGATTTACGCTGCTGAAAACCATATATGTATACATATATTTTTATTGGTCTAAGCGGGCAGTCGGTTTTACCGCCTATCAGATCTTCAGTAGTTATCGGAGCCCAAAAACATCAGCATTTGTATGGTATCACTCACCGTGAGACATGAGGACGATCTATTATGTGCTTTATATCTCAAGCGTTTTGTATAACGACCGTCAATTCCTCGAGCAATTAGATTAAATAGCTTATAAATTATGCGATACCAAATTATATGGTACGAAGTAATTCACTCATCGTGAAAATTGTAATTGGAACTACTTGTACTTGTACTACTACTTGTACTTGGTACTGGGTATGTAAGCATGTAAGACATGAATAGACGCTTATGACATGAGTAAATAAAGATTATAAAAACGTTCACCATAATCTTTTTTTTTTTTATTGCTTAGATGGGTGGACGAGCTCACAGCCCACCTGGTGTTAAGTGGTTACTGGAGCTCATAGACATCTACAACGTAAATGCGCCACCCACCTTGAGATATAAGTTCGAAGGTCTCAAGTATAGTTACAACGGCTGCCCCACCCTTCAAACCGAAACGCATTACTGCTTCACGGCAGAAATAAGTAGGGTGGTGGTACCTACCCGCGCGGACTCTCAAAAGGTCCTACCACCAGTATAATCTATATTTAGAAAAACAAAAAAAAATGTTTTATATACTAATACTAATGGCGTATCTACAAAAACAGCTTTGTTATTTACGTTAAAACGTTTTACGATACACTATTGCAAAACAGAAATTAAAAAGTCATCTTCCGTTGTTTCGAAAGCACTCGCTATGTTTCAGCTGAAAAGAAAAAAAAAAGCGGAACTCACCAATACTAATCTGTAGTTGAGTCTGACAGCGTAATTACAGTCGCCGACACAGTTACTCCATCCGAGCCACGGACCAGTTGCACACTTCATTGAATCTAGAGAACATTGCATTAAAGACTAATCGTAATTTTACTTTAGGACTATGTTGCATGAACGATCCCGTTTTTGGAGTGTTTTAAAATCCCATTATCTGTCGTCTACGTCTCAAAGAAAGTTCACTCCTGTAATTTCAAATCGTTGCATTCTTGGCAGTGCGTTTACAACGATAATTTTTTTCTTCGGATATTCGTGAAAGGAAGGTAATCACATAAGATTAGGTAGCTCATTTTTTTCGACAGTAATAAAAACACAAATGTAGAAAAAAACAAAACAGTTATGTACTATATAATCCTCTTTTTCGCAAGACCAATTTGTGCTATTTCGCTAGTAATATACTATTTTATTAACCTTTTTACTCACTATTTAGTAATCTATTTTATTATTAATTACTTTTTTATTTATCTATTAACCAATCTCGAGTGTGAGTTCAAAGTACGGTGATTAGCGCGGTGGCGATAGCGGTGACGAGAGCGGAATATATGAAACCGCCTTTTGGGTCATTTTTTTTAATACTACTAAAGCAGATAGGCCTGAGAGGCTATGTCAGCGTAGCCTTAACAAGTAGGTGAACTCATGGGGCTCAAACCTGACGAATTTGTGTTCAAAGTGCACAGACTAATAAGACGCCTGACGCGACAGACGTGTCCCATTCCGATAGAGGCACCCGTCACGTGCGGACGTGCTCATCGTCCACTCGATCGCCCGGTCTTTGTTCGCCCAGCTTTTGTTAGCCCGGCCATTGTTCGCGCGGCCTGTGTTTGTGGTACGTCTGCCGACTAAGTGCTCTTTCTGGAAGTTTTTATTTGTTTTGTTTCCTTTTGTTGTTTCTGTGTTCGTGGTACATCTGCCGACAAAGTGGTTTCCTGCAAGTATTTATTTGTTTTGTTTCTTTTCGTAATTTCTGTTTTGTTGTGCTTTTTCTTTGTCCTGTAGTAATCGCGCCGCATTGCCACCTGTGTTCAATAGAACCGCTCNATTTTTGTGAGAAAGGTGTAAAAACGAATGCAGTTGTGTATCAAAATACAGTCCTGACGAACCTTGTGGAACCTGTTTCTCATACCATGTTCAATAACAGGCACTGGGTATTCCAACAAGATTCGGCGCCAGCTCATAGAGCGAAGAGCACACAAGACTGGCTGGCGGCGCGTGAAATCGACTTCATCCGGCACGAAGAATGGCCCTCCTCCAGTCCAGATTTGAATCCGTTAGATTACAAGATATGGCAACACTTGGAGGAAAAGGCGTGCTCAAAGCCTCATCCCAGTTTGGAGTCACTCAAGACTTCCTTGATTAAGGCAGCCGCCGATATTGACATGGACCTCGTTCGTGCTGCGATAGACGACTGGCCGCGCAGATTGAAGGCCTGTATTCAAATCACGGAGGTCATTTTGAATAAACTTTAGTGTCATAAGAATCTATGTTTTCTTAAGTTCATTTTGGTATATGAATGGTTACATAATGAATAAACTTGTTTCAATTATTTTACATTAAACATGTGACAGAATTTATGACCTGACTAGGTACATCTATACTAATATATAAATCTACAGTGGTATTTACGGATGTTCCGTTATAACTACTGAACCATGCATCCGATTGACTTGAAACTTGGTAACCATGTAGAAAATACATGTACTTAATGGATAGGCTAATATTTATATGAGTGTTGGACTCCCTAGACCAGTTGCGGGGGCGTTAATGATGAGAATCTTTGTGGGAGAAATAATAATGTTAATTTTAAATGCCCAGCGAAGCGGACGGCCACAGCTAGTAGGTATAATCTATAAAATTGAACTTACCGCGCAACGCTGGCTTGTCATTCAACATGACCTCGTTGTCATCAGATGAAGGGGTCGCCTTCATTTTTTTAATTCTCGTTTCGCTCACAGCTTCTGTGTAAAAAATTTACAAAAGAATCTATACAACCGTAACGTGCACAAAAGGTCGCTAAAGTGCTCGTAAAATGTGAGTGTACATTAAAACGCGCTTTGTGCACTAATGTGTGCATTTCATTCAAGATAACTTCTTAACAATCTAAACTAAAGACTCTTAGTCAACCGAGTGGAAGTTTACGATCCATTTGATCGTAAGGTCACCGTAAGGTCACCATAATTCCTGAACTATCAACGACATAACCGAGTTTTTTTTATTACATTAAACATGCAGACGAGCTCACAGATCATGGCCACCTGAGGTTAAGTTATTACTGGAGCCCATGGACACCATGTATATATCCCGTCACTCATCTTGATAACTCTCACTACGAGTATAACCTTAGTCATAAGATTAAACCGACCAAATTTACGTAATGACGTATACGTTGATATAATTTGAAACTTCTAATGGTCACAACACGAAAGCAGTTAATGAATGTTACCAATTAATTTGTATCGTCATATCGACAATTCAGATTGACAACGTGTGCTGATACAAAAAAAATGTAATTGACAATCATAACAGTAGTTCCCATATCAGTAGCTAGAGGATGTGTGAAAGTAGCCCTGGTTATTGACAAATTAAAGAGCGAACGGTTAGCTTTTTTTTCCTACCTATGCTGATAGCCTTGAGAATCTATTTCAGCTTCGCCCTAACGTTTGTAGGTGAGCTCACGGGGCTCAAACCGGAGAGTTGCTAACACTGACCCTAGCAAGGGCAGTGCTTCGCAGAATCTAGCACCGGATCAGAAACGCGACCCACTGAGAAGATCCGGCGAGCGGACGGTTAGCGTGGTATGGACATGTGAGGCGTAGAGAGGATATGCATCTGACTAGGAGATGTATGGAAATTATAGTGCAAGGTAGAGGGGAAAGAGGTCAACCGAAGAAGACATGGATTGAGTGTGTGAATGACAATATGAGAGAGAGATGAGTGAGTATTAAGCTGACGGCTGATAGAAGAGAATGGAAGAGAAAAATTAGCTGTGCCGACCCCACCTAGTAGGATAAGGTGAAGAAAAAGAAGAATCAGTAGTTTTTTTTATTATTTATTTTATTGCGTAAATGGATTGACGAGCTCACAGCCCACCTGGTGTTAATTGATTATTAAGCCCATGGACATCTACAACGTAAATGCCGCCACCCACCTCGAGATATAAGTTAAGGTCTAGTAAGGTCTCAGTATAGTTACAACAGCTGCCCCACCCGTCAAACCGAAACGCATTACCGCTTCACGGCAGAAATAAGCTGGGCAGTGCTGCCGACCCGTGCGGACTCACAAGAGTTCCTACCATCAGTAGATAGTCTTATAGCTAATGAGTCTATTTGAAATATTAAGTAGGTATTTCATACGAACCCGATTTCTTTCCTACCGAGGTGTTCTTGTGACATACGCTCAAACACTCATCTCTGTCACGGAAATTATTATCGTTCCCTCCGCAGCCGGAGTATCCGAACGGTTCACAGGACTTGCGAGGCCAGTCAAAGAACCAACGCTCCTGATACCTGCGACAATAGCCAACCGACATCGGTAGCTTGCAGATTTCTGAAAACCACTTATAATAATTATAGGATCATTTCTTTACTACACTACAACAAACACTTAAGAGTCGTCATGTTTATTAATGTGAATAAATAATGTTTAGAAAATGAAGACTTTGTGGCCTAAAAGATAAGACGTCTGGTGCATTCGTATCTAACGATGCAACGAGGTTCGAATCCCGCAGGCGGGTACTAATTTTCCTAATGAATTACGTACTTAAGAAATGTTTTCGATTGACTTCCATGGTGAAGGAATAACATCTTGTAATAAAAATCAAACCCGGTCTGAAATGTAGGGCAGCCGTTGTAAGTATACTGAGACTTTAGAACTCATATCTCAAGGTGGGTGGCGGCATGTACGTTGCAGATGTCCATCGGCTCCGGTAACCACTGAACACCAGGTGGGCTGTAAGCTCGTTCACCTATCTATGCAATAAAAAAACCAAAAAAACCACGCGTATAAGACTTTCATTATATTTAAGGCTTCAAAAAACTTTTAAAATACATCGGAATACGGCTGTGACCACTTCTAAGATGTTTAGTACATTTTAAGTGTTGCAAACGTCTATTATTATTACAATATTACATTGTCCATTAATCAAAGTTGTCTCGTAATCAGATATTATTTTTTAAACACGTCCATCACTCCGTAAGCATTACTCACTACTTCGTTGTACGCTAATGTAGGTTCTACTTTGTAAAGTCTGCTTCACAAGAGACCATTGACTTCGCGTATCGCTTGATTTTAGATTGTATTACATTGCGTGCTGTGCAAAAATCATAAAAACAATAATAAAAATAAATTATTATGACTTAACTAAATTCATTTAAGATGATGATACCGTTTAAATTGTACTCAACCCTTTAAATAATAAAATAAAAAGCTTTATCATTAACAAAAACATTTTGTTAAATTACTTGAAGAGTCATTAAAATTGATGCAGCTTCTGTCTTCTCCGTCGCAAAAGGCCTCTTGTTGAGTCAAAGTGAACTGGCATCGTTCCAGATGTTCCTCTACGAGATTTTCAATTTCTGGGTCCTCTGAGGTTACGTTTTCTGTAGCAACTTCCTAGAACAAAACTCGACTAGAAGATAACAATAAGATATAAAAATAAATCAATTAACTTTTCGATGTTACTTTTTACTACTAAGGCTCTTCGGCAGGGACGTCTTAAACTAGGATGGGGCCCTTGGGCACACAAGAATTTGAGGCCCTTTTGGAAAGTAAAAACAGCGAATTATAATAACATTTTTTTACTGAGTATGAGACCATTTATTATAGGTAATCAAATACAGTATGATATAATATGTCATTAATGATATTAGAATACTGCTGGTTTTTTGGTTACGATTTCGATAACGGTTTCTTTCGGGATTTCTGTTGAGCAAAATCTTCTATTATAGGCATAGTATATGCCTTATAAATACCTTCTGACTACTGATTTGTGAAAAACGTGTTATGTGCCCGACAAAAATGTTCTGAGAATAAACGTGTGAGAGAAATTGTCGGCCTTTCGGGGCCCTCTGAGAAAGGGGGCCCTGGGCACGGGCCCCATGTACCCTTATGGTAAAGACGGTATTGCTCTTCGGTCCACCTGACAGCTAATAGTCATCGCGGGTTACGAAGGTCACTGACCAACATTTTGTATCATTAATTTGTAGTTTATGCGTTACTTTTTACTGGTGGTAGGACCTCTTGTGAGTCCGCATAGGTACCACCACCCCGCCTATTTCTGTCGTGAAGCAGTAATGCGTTTCGGTTTGAAGGGTGAGGCAGCCGTTGTAACTATAGTGAGGCCTTAGAACTTATATCTCAAGGTGGGTGGCGCATTTACGTTGTAGATGTCTATGGGCTCCAGTAACCACTTAAGATCAGGTGGGCTGTGAGCTCGTCCACCCATCTAAGCAATAAATAAAAAAATTATAAAAAAAAACTTAAATTAATTTTGTATCGTAATAAAGATTCAGAGCCGATATTGAAATTACCAAGTTCTGCAATTCGGCAAAACGTTGATTCCACTGAGCCAGCAATCGTTTCGACATGAGCTGTTGCACGCGCGTCTCCCGCACTACGTACACGCGCGTACGCAGTCGGCGGCCGCGCCCGCACCGCGCCGAGCACGGCGACCAGTCGCTCCATGACGTCACTCTACACTCTCCTCTAGGATTGTCCTATTTAAGTAAATATATTATTTTACAAAGTAATTGTGGATGATTGGCTGGTACTCGGCATACTAAAATAAGCGGCTTGGCTCTACCCCTGGCATTGCTGATGTCCATGGGCGACGGTAACCACTCACCATCAGATGGGCCGTGTGTTCGTCTGCCTACAAGGGCAATAAAAAATATATATATATATAATGATTGGAGGTCGGTCGGAAAGGGCCCTATCAAAAGGCTCAAGATCACCTAAAAAGTAATGGAGAAGACTATGCTTGAAGTTTTCCTGCAAGCTCGAATCAGAGATAAGAGATTCGCAGGAAAATCATGATTAGCGACATAGCCCAAAGAACTGTGATTTTGAAGTTCTAATGAGCAGGGAATATTACTCATAACAGATGGTTGCTAAGGGCCAAAAAGTTCTCGAGCGGTGACCGCGTACTAGAAGATACAGCGTAGGTAGTCCTTCCATACGGTAATTGAAGTTCAAGGGAATCTGCGACCTGTGGACTTGTGGTTGTGGTGAATCTTGGGCAACGCCTATATCCAGCAGTACAGGTTTATTTATTTATTTAAGGTTGGTGGGTTGATAGATAAATAGCTAGTCGTCGTCCGTACTGTTATAAATAAGATGTATGGTGTACTCAACTGGCATGATTCAATTCTGGAGACGTAACAAATCTTATGACTATACCACAATAAATTAACGAACATCCTGATGAGCGCTCTATATAAGTTGAAATGCACTCAGATGAGATCGTTAATAGTAATAGTCGTAATATTTGAGTTGAAATCACGAGTCTCACAAGTTTGACCTGACCTTATTACAAGTAGCTGAGGACAAAACCGAGGCACTAAGATTTTAACCCCAATCAGTGTAATTATCCTAAGCCCCAATCGAAATATTATTATGTTCCTAAACAAATAAGTTTAACCAAGTTCTATCAAGTCGCTTTCTTGTATCTACGTTCAATCGGGTATACATTTGAAATTGATTTTAAATTAATTTACTGATGAACTGTATACTAGAAATTTTCAATATGGTTGATACATGAGATTGGAATACAGGAAACCCCATAGGTATATGACTTAACAGGTTTTATATTCTTAGTTCGTTTTACAGGATAAATATATTTTAGTACCTAATTGTCTAATTAATCACATACCACGAAAAACCAATCGAAACTCGACATGTTCGCGTATCGGGGCGGTGGCCTGAAAAGCAAAAAAAAAACTCAACATTTAAAATAGAAATGCCAAATGTCAAAATATTTAATAGTTATATACACATACACGCTATTTAATAGTTAAACGAACAGAACGAGATTAATTGATAAGCGTGAAAATAATATGTACCTAGTAACTGTAATTAATACACATGCATTGAAAGAAAAGAAAATGAGATTAATTTGACAGATTAAAAAAAATCGATATCTTACAAAACCGCTGTTCTCAGTTTTAAGGAATATTCTTATGAATTAGATTGACAGACCGGTTGAAATATTGTCATATTTAAACGACTTCATTAATAAAATGGCTTTTACTAGAGTTAGTGTTAGCAATGTCGTCAGTTTTGAGCCCCGCGAGCTCATCTACTATTTTTTTTGCTAAAATGGGTGGACGATCTCACAGCCCATTCGGTGTTAAATGGTTACTGGAGCCCATAGACATTTACAACGTAAATGCGCCACCCACCTTGAGACATAAGATCTAAGGTCTCAAGTATAGTTACAACGGCTGCCCCACCCCTCAAACCGAAACGCATTACTGCTTCACGGCACAAATAGGCAGGGTGGTGATACCTACCCGCGCGGACTCACAAGAGGACTCCACCAGCAATTACGCAAATTTCAATTTTATGGCATTGATTTTTATTACACGATGTTATTCCTTCACCGTGGAAGTCAATCGTGAACATTTGTTGAGTACGTATTTCATTACGCTACTTGTTAGGGTTACGCTGAAATGGTCTCTCAAGGCCATCAGCTTAAATAGGAAAAAAAAGGTATTTGTATATTTTGGTTAATTCAATAACTTTTTAAGGCAGAGCTCATTTCAAACTGCGGTTGGATAACGCCTTAACTTGTTCCAAGAGAAATGGACTAACTGTTCGCACGGTCCCTCGGCGCAGGGCATGGCCTGGCTGAGTATAGTGCGGGCGCGGAAGCCGATGTGACATCGTTTGTACGCTCGCGGGGCGAGGTAGTGCCGCGTGCGGGCCCGCACCCCGCACCCGTCGCACGGGGACCACTCCGACCACGGAGACATCGCACACGGCCCGCTCGACTCCGCTGGGTCCGGCTCGTATTCCGATACAGCTCTAGTGCCCACCAAAAGGTACGTCAATTAAATGTAAAATCTTCACACATACTTTATAGAATTTCAGTTCGTAGTGTTTATAGAGAATCTGTTGACGTGAAACTTCTTTAGGCGCCTTGAGAGTAAAATTTAGCACGCGAAAGATTGGTTACGGCTAGAGAGAAAAGATACAATTTAGGACGAGCGGGAGTGAGAAAATAGACAGAGCGTCTCGCGAACCACTCGACCGTGGAGAGAGGAAAGGACAAAGCGAGCTAGGTCGTTATTTAGTTTAGCAACACCTATTGGACTTTATATAAACTACTACATTGCAAGGCCAATGATGTGAACAGCTTAGTTTCTAAAATATTTACCGTAAGCGGTATTTTAAATAAAAGTAATGTTTTAAATTATCACTCAAAATATTATTAAGTAAACCTAAAGACTCCTTCGGTAATCATCGAATACTAGCAACGACTTCTTTCTGAGCTTATGTTATTTCTCGAAGTACGTTGAAGTTTCACTTCTTTCACGTGCACCAAGTCGCATGCGCACCAGCTGTTTCTTGTTAGTTTCTATAGCCTCTCAACTAAACACGGAATGTATATAAATTCTTTTCGGCTTCAAAAGTGGAATAATCATTACTACGACGCAGTCGAGACTTGGTTTCTCATAACCTGATAGGTTCTGATAAATTTTTTTGTTTATTATACGGTGCCGTCACATCAGGGCTAGAAAGGAAACATCATTTATGAAGTTAGGATACATTTGGAAATACCGGCAATGCATCCTCGGTCCGTGGCAGTGTTTGTAATCTGTAAGTTGGACGCGACAAGCCTCAGCGTGGGCCCGCGCCGGCCAGACGTAGTCGCGCTGGCGGGAGGCGCGGCCCGCACCGCACGTCACGCTGCACGGACCCCACGGACCCCACCCGTGTGTCGCGCACCAGCCGCCCGCACCGACACCTTCTTGAACGTTCTGATCCGTTCCGGGCTCTTGTTATAGTTGCGAGAAAAATTGATAAATCTTCATTGCGCCTTTATAAAAAATCTATCTAAATATATTTTTTACTGAAAAAAAAAACAATATTTTATACAATCATGCCAGGCGCCCGCCTATTTCTGCCGTGAAGCAGTAATGCGTTTCGGTTTGAAGGGTGGGGCAGCCGTGGTAACAGTAGGTGGGTGGCGTATTTACGATGTAGATGTCTATAGGCTCCAGTAACTATTTAACACCAGGTGGGCTGTGAGCTCGTCCACCCACCTAAGGAATAAAAAAAGGTGTCTTATGAGTTATGAGGACTTCACTGACGACATTAGAATGAAACTCTAAACTAATACCATATTAAAACCGATCTCTCACTCGACGACTTACCTGTGACATCACAGCTCTTCTCATATAAACGCAATCTGGTTAATCGAACGCGCGCAAAGGGTCTCATTTCCCCGGTCGTGCTGAAAAACGGTGAGCGCACATCGCGAGGCCAATCCGTCCTAAGGGCTCGTACGGGCGCCGCTGGAATCGTTGGCATACGACGAGACTGTAAACAAACCAATTAAAAAAAAAGTCTCAAGTGAAGTTTACGTCAAACCAGACAAATTAGCGTGACTCCAATTAGTAGAGCATTTTTTAAGCCGACATGGGACACTAGTTGGTACATGTCTAAATCTAGATGCGATAGGTTTTGAAAATTATTATAGCCACTATCCCAATGCAATTGGACACTTCGTTCTAGGGATAAATTTTGAGATTCTATCACCGCACGTAGATTCTATCATCGTACGCATTTCTTCTGCTAATAAAATTGAGGCTTTTTATTGCTTTGATTGGTGGACGAGCTCATGGTCCAACTGTTGTTAAGTGGTTACCGGAGCCCGTAGACATCAACAACGTAAATGTTCTAACCACCCATGTTCTAAGGTCTCAGTTTACAACGGCAGCCCCGCCCTTCAAACCGAAACGTCTTGCTGCTTCACGGTAGAAATAAGCACCGTGGTGGTACCTACTCGTACAGGCTCACTAGAGGTCCTACCCCCAGTAATTACGCTAATTATAATTTTGCCAGTTTGATTTTTATTAAACGATGTTTTTTCTCAACCGTGGAAGTCAATCGTAAACATTTGTTAAGTAAATATTTTATTTAAAAAATAGTACTCGCTTGCGGGATTCGAACACCGTTGTATCGCTAGATACAAATGCACCGAACGTCTTATCCTTTAAGCCACGGCGACTTTAAGCCTGGACCACATAGGCTCCGATACCAACCGTGTTTCTTCTATACAATAAAAATGAAAACTTTCAAGGACTTAACTGCTAAAAGTCTGAATTGAGCCCTTGACAGTTTGTCTTCTGTGTATTTTTTTTATTTTTATTTTCAATTTACTTTCAATTACTTTCAATTAAATTACTCACAGTATAACTTATGCCATTATCTGTACCAGCATCGTAAGGGTACAACGACAGTGAGGCCGACGTTCTCCATGTACAATTCACGTTGCAGAGCTCCAACGCCGAAACTCCTACGATCCAGTCTGGCGAAGGAGCTAATTTGGCAGCCAAAGATACCAGATGGTGCTTGGCGTCTACACGAAACACAGCAAACGTACTTGGAATGCCAGTTCCCGTCACTTGCTGCCACGATATACCACGGGCTTTGATTATCGTACGGATATGATCACTCTAAAACACAATAGCACTATAAAATAAATTATACAGTGAAACAAAAAATTCAGACTACATTAAAAATACAATAAGTATTTAAACGCACAAAGCTTAAATTATTTGATATAACATAAATACACTTGTAAACATTACTCTCTTTGAGAGTAAGTAAAGAGGAGTAGAGCCCCTATTCAAGAAACAAAGTATAATTTTTAAAGGATTGGTCATTGGTACCTCTGCTTTTAATTCCTTTTCGAGGGCTGTGGTAGAGCCGTCATCGGCGAGACGCCTTAAACCAGTCGTCGCTACCCGACCTTCTTGCCAGACCCTGTACTGTGCAGTATGTGAGGCGCCAATTATATCACCAAAATGGGCATGAGCATTCTCCGGAGGAAACTCACGAGGATGGGTGTTGCGAGACCACATTCCTTCGAAATTTACCTTAAAATAACACACTTTATAATAATTTCATAGATTCGACCAAACAATTTACTATATAACTAAGAAATAATGATTTCCCTAAAACTTGAACATTACCTCATATTTTGCTTCATCACAAGCACAACAGGGCTCAACAATGGGTGGTTGTCGATTTAAGCTAGAAGGTCCAGCCGAAGTGGGGCAGATCTTACGAGCCAAAACAGACCATTTATTTGCGGCCAGCGTGGGACCGACACGAGCGGACAGCCGCACGCAAACTCCTCTCACACTTAAAGGTGCATTCCATATTACCTGGTAAGGAAATAACATGTTTACTAACAGTGTCGTTGTTTCAATTGATTGATACATTGTTGATTTTCATTTATTTCTGGTATCTTCTTCTTTAGTAGTCGGGTGTCATTTGCCATTGATCTGTAATTTCATCTATAACTATAGATTTCGATGAGCTCACCTGCACTTCTGTCTTAGGGTGGGCAGTAGCATTATCGACGGCTGGAGCGCAGGATTCATGAAGTTTAGTCTGGGCATCGTAAGCCTGGAATACTCCCAACGGCTGGTGAGGGTCAGCTGTTGCTCTCAGGTCTCCTTGCTCTGTTTCGTCTTTTGTAAAATCACTCGCGACTTCAGCCCATATCTTGAAGCCGGTAAACGGATTGGGGCCTTGACCGCTGTTAGCCCCTCGGAGCGTAACTAAAACCAACGCACCTCGATAGAATCATTCACAGAATTAGCGATAGACGTCAGTCTAACGCTGAAGTGTATTTTTACCGGGGAAGATCGACATTGAGTGGTTACCGAGAACAATAGACGCCTTAACATAAATGTTGTCGCTCCCCATTTCGTCTAACTATATTACAAGAAAATGTAACGAAAACATTAATTACATCGGAATCGGACAGAAATGAAGACGTCACAGAACTGTGTGAACACGGACTGTCGAATCTTAGATAACAATTAACAATATTTCATCGAAATAAATGAGTGGTTGCGACACAGTCTCTTCTAACTACCATTTTTCCGTTTCTTTATTTTCGTACCTAACTCACTTCGTATGTTCTTATTTTGAGTATTAGTAACAGAGCGTGTTGTGAACATGCATCTGCGTTATGTCTATTTTGGCAAGTTACCCTGCGCTCCTCTTTGTAAGGCTATTCCGTGCAATTGGTAAACTGCGCCTGGTTTCAAGATTAGGGACGGCTATTAATTTGTGCTTTTTACAGGCTTTTAGAATCGCTTACTAACAGGTGTGCGGTCAAATATTCATCTACGTTCATTAATAAAAAGGTATTTTACCGGTATACAGCTCTCCTGGTATAAACAAATCTGGTTCGCCCGATATACGCAAGCTGAAATGATCATCGGTGGGCTGCGCGTGCGCCGGAGCCTGTTCACACTTAGCCAAGGACTCACCAGCAACAAATATCGCATTCTCAAAAGAAACTACCAAGACCAATAAAAACCTCAACGCTTCCGTCTCGTGCATATTTAAATATTCTATATGCTTTACAATGTGAAATGTTTTTTCGTTTTCGAACAGCTTCTACATAAAAAAAATATCGAAGTAACTTTACTGCAGCATCTGGGTTATGTAAACGAAACCAAATGGAATTTTTAATCCGGCTTTTCAGAAGCCCTTGTAAACAAAAGAATGTCAAGTCTATTCACTCATTACAATTAAAAATATATAAAAAAATATGCAGGGATTCACAACTTGTGTTACAACTATACATAAAACTGCCGCAATTTAACAATCTTGAAGTAATTTTAGCAGACAAAGGAACTCGTAATGTGGACGCCAGAACCGCCCGCCCTCGGCATCAACTGATCGCGTACTGACGCACCCCTACATAGACTAAGTACATTGCTACATAGAGCCTTTTGAATTGCAGCTTTTACTTCTTGTATGTAAATGGAGGACTGTTTCAGAGATATTCGTGTAATTATTAACGTGAGTTGCATTATGATCTTGCATTTCTTAAAAAAATTAACACCTACTGAATTTCCTGAGCTAATATTATAAACTTTATACCGTTTTAATTTTTCAAATAAATTTTGAGAACTATTTTTTTTACTTATACCAACTAGACTATATTTTAATGCATGTTTATCAGCGCCATCACATTTACTAAACTCATTCCTTGTAGCATATTCAAGTCGTGAACAATTTTTGTCATCTTCACATTATTAGTTCAACTTCAGTATAAAATTGGTTAACACATCCATCATCCGACTACCACCCTGCTTTTGAGTAGTTAATCACTAGGCTGTGATGACTTATTTTCTGAAAGACACGGCTCATGTTGAATCTATCTCTAAAACACCTCGAATCGTATAACTGTTACCCTACCCTTCAAACCAGGAGACGCTACTACGCAGAGGTTCAAATATACACGACGCTATTATCTATTATATATGAAAAACGGAGACCGTCTGACATGATATAGCCTGCAATGACCCAACTGAGCAAAATTTGGAAACTAATATTACCCACCGAACTAAAATAAATCTGGTCCGCACCCTTGTCTTCTCCATTGCTCTATACAGTGCAGAGACGTGGACACTCAAAGCCGTAGATAGGCAGAGAATCGACGCTTTTGAAATATGGTGCCGGCGACGTATGCTACGAATACCATGGACGGCCCGCCGCACCAACATCTCTATTCTCAAGCAGTTAAAAATAGAAAAGACTCAACGTCTAAGTCTATCCACAACCTGCCTACAAAGAATATTGCGGTATTTTGGCCAGGTTGCACGCAGGGATACCAGCAATTTGGAACGCCTTGTGGTGACCGGTAAAATCGAGGGGAAAAAGGCCTAGGGGTAGAGGTCCCAACCGATGGTCGGACCAAATAGCGGAGGAACTGAAAATACCTGTCAGCGATGCACCCCACCAAACTAAAGAACGGGATCGATGAAGACAGCTGGTTGACGGAATCGGACGGAGTCACGATCCTCAGCAATGAGGGACCGATTGAAGAGAGAGATTATCTATACGGGCTTACAACTTTTTCCCCCTACCTAATCGTTGAAAACTTAAGAGGCTATTCCAGCTACGCGGTAGGTGAGGCCACAATTATTAACACTAACCCTAGCAATAGCAGTGCTTTGCTGAATCTACTCCCGGAACTTAATTGCGACCCACTACGAAGATAAATAAAGAGAAAGTCAGTAGGTTGTGTCTATGGACTAGGTTGCACGTTAAACTTTCGTCGCATTTAACGAGAACGGTGACCGGTGCTTAGAGAGTCTATAGCACCGAGAATGGACCGGGAGGTTCCGAGCCACATGTCTTCATGTGGGCTTAAAACGCGCTATCACATTCCACAAACGGACGGAACAATGTGGAAGTGAGGTGTTTGTGCCGGATCATAATTTTTTTTGTATCTTTATTTAAAATTGAAAATATACAAAAACCTACTTTAAAAATAAATTAGAGTAAACCCACTGGGTTTGGTTCGTCAGTTCTTTTCGGAACTGTAGCTTTTTTGGGCTCGGAGTTTGAGACATGATTACCATTCGACAAAAATATCGTGGTGACATTAAAGTTGAAACCAATGAGTCCAATAAAAACTGATGAGTATGACGCAATAATATTTTATTAGAAGTTATATTATTTTTCGACGTAGTCACCTTTGAAGTTTATACACATTGTTTATCTTTAAATTCCTTTTTTTTTAAATCTTCTTCCTGATCCCAAATCGTTATCACTACATATTTATTGAACACTCCTACTATTTTTCTTCATCGGTCGATGTCGGAAAATTGGTAGCTGCCCCAACACACCTAAGAGACACCATGCGTGATATTTATTAGGCTGCGAACGTTTTAAATATTTAACAGTTACTAATTATTCTGAAAATCTAAATAATAGACAACTGTATTTTATTTTTATCTTTATTCCATTAATAATATATATTAAATTAAAAACAATGATATAGCTTAGAAACAATATACTATGATTTCACACAACTATGATTTACAATACTATAATGTTGGAATTTAAATCAAAGAATTATGAAAACTCTACTAGTAATAACATATTTAACGCGACGTGAACCTATATAATCAAGTATAAACAGGTAAATGAATAGCACATTGTGCACCAGGGCAGAAAAGAGGAAATGTCCAACTTTTCTCCCCCGGTGCACATACAATTTTTTCTCCTACCAGGCCGAAAGTTCGTGGAGTACCGAGCCGGGGTCTAGGGGCGAAGCCCTGCCGGGGGTAGGGGGGGCGGAGCCCCCCGTAACCATACAAAAAAAAAATTTAACTGTTTTTTAATTTTTAATAAACTACTACTAATTGAACAAGAACTGTCTGATGAACTCATCTTTGTTTAATACTTCACTATTAAATTTTATTGCCTTTTGTTTATTTCACTTTTACACTAAACACAATATTGAAAATTACCCGAGCACAACAATGGCGGAGAATTTTAGGTGCGTAAGAGCAGACGAAGACACTAACGCGCATGCGCACTTGTACCCAGGGAGAAAAAGTTACACTTTCTTTCCTGTACAGCGGGACGAAAACCGAACTTTCGGCGTAGGTAGGAGAAAAAAAACAGTTAACTACTATTTTCCAATCTGTGTATCAATCGATTTTCATTTGGTTTTCTTTATTAGACTGAAGTTTTATGTTAACAATAAAAGTACTGAAAATAGTAAATTTTTATGTTCAAGATGTCAAATAATTAATGCAAATGAATATAAATCTTGAGGTGTCAGTGATTACGGTCGAATTTCGATCATTGTTCGTACACTAGTTATTACAAATACATGAAATCGAGCATATTCTAGTTGATATGAAATAAATTATGCGTGACTAGGCTATTATACTACTACAGTATACTATGTAAATATACAAATGGAAACATACTTTAAAAGTATCAAACTATACTATTACTCTTTTTAATTTATTAATAAAATTATTTTGATGTTATTAATTCATTTTCCGAGATGAAGATGATTAATGCTTACATTATTTTATCATTTAATACGTACTAAAAATTCATATTAAATATTTCTTGGAGTAGGATAAAATGTTACACGATAAAATATTTACTTTTTACTTACTTTTAAAATATCTATAATACATTTTTTAAATTGGTACTTACATAATTAGGTTAGTTCATTACATCAACAACATAAATGATACTGACATTCTGAAATAATATATTCTCATAATTTTTCGAAAATAATTCACTACCTTTACATTTTCCATTCATTTACAGATTTTATTCATTCATTCGTCTTTGGCATTTTGAGTCCACTACTGCTGTATAAAATCTATATGGCATAAGGTACACCTTTTTGTAACATCCGCACTGGTATTGAGTACATATCGGGATTTCATATTAACATCTTATGTAGAAATCGTCATTGAAACTTGATTCATAATCATACAACAATATCGACTTAGCAAAACCAGAATAAAGCGCCCCTTTAAGCTTTCAAATTATATTTATCACAGGCAAAAAGGAATCAGGCTAAGTTTTGTTAGTAGCATTAATTTATTAATATATATTATAATATAAATTAGACTAAAGATTTTAATGATAAATACTATATAATATAAATAGAGTATTTAACTTCTAGCTCGCATCTTTTGGGTGACTTTTTACCTGTCGTCCATAGGCGCATGACGGTCCAGATTCAAACTGGTGTGAAGTGGTCATTGATGCTCATAGCAGCCCAGTCTCGACGCTGCCGCCCACTTTGAGGTCCAAGTCTCAATTGTATTGTTAGGAATCATACACACTATGTGATTATCGGCAATGCGTTGCGAGTGCCACCTACCGGTTTACGATTACCAATCACGACGATGAGAACGAAAAATTTCAAAGATGTACGTAAAAGAAGTTTCAACTATTTACTAAATTTACACACGTTACGTGAAAAAGAAAAAACCAAGAAGTACTGGATCCATTATTATTTACAAACACGAGAGCAAGCATTTTGAAATATTTAAGACTATATAAACAAAAAAACGGGTGCACTAGAATGAGCATAAACACGTTTGAAGAATTATTAATCATTTTAAAGGCATTTATAACGAAGCAAGATTTAATAAATTGCGAGCAGCCGGATATTGTGTACGAGCCCTTAGAGCCATTAGCGCGCCTTTCAAACTGACACTCGTGTGGTCTGCATGATGATTGTTCACTTGAAGACCTTCAGTGTCGTGATGTTGAGCGTTATGGTAGCAAGAAAATTCAAGTAACAATCAAATTTATATATTGATCAAAATAGTATTTATCGATTGTGTTATAAATAGTACACTTCACCCGAATTACCCAGTAAGACAATAAACGATTTTACTTAAATAAATTAACCTAGAAAAATCAACGAAAAAGGCATGATATTTGGAAAATTAAAATTTGGATTTTTTTTATTTATTGCTTAGATTGGTGGACGAGCTCACAGCTCACCTGGATGTTAAGTTGTTACTGGAGCCCATAGACATCTACAACGTAAATGCGCCACCCACCTTGAGATATGAGTTCTAAGGTCTCAGTATAGTTACAACGGCTGCCCCTGCTTTCAACCCGAAACGCATTACTGCTTCACGGCTGAAATGGGTGGGGTTGGCACCTACCCGTGCGGACTCACAAGAGGTCCTACCACCAGTAAAAAAGTGGATTTATTTGATTTAAGACATTGTCCTTTTCGGTAGATCCTCTCTGAGCTGGAGCACGTGCTCGACTGCCTGTAGTTGGCCGTCTTCACCGACTCGCGCCGGCTTCACCACGCCGGCGGTTACCATCTTATCGAACAAGTTGACAAGCTTCATAGCCTCGTACTCTTTCTGTAATAAAAAAAATACATGTAAGATCGGTAAGAACGGAACGTATGAAAAGAGTGTGAAACGGAGCGTTAAGATGTGAGTGAGAGAAAACGCAAAGAAAGAAAGAAGAGAATGACATACAGAATGACAGAGAATTGGAAGATGGCGAAGACGGTTGAAAAATGAGTAAGACGTAATAAAAGTGTTAATTATTAATTATTATTAGAAGAGAAGATTTTGGAACAGGGGAAGTTTTATTCTATGCGCTGCGATTCCTATTCTACATACATTTTAATTATTTTTTTTATTGCCTCCGTAAGCGAGCATGCTCGATTGGCGAGCGGCGTGATCCTAAAACTAGACGAAGGGATCTCGAACAACTTCTCAGAGCCAATTCTCAGTAACCATTCTACAATCTACGTGTATCGCATAACTTCATTTCATTACATACCGTTTGTATGTAAGTCTATTGAGTGGTACAACTTATACCTAGTCAAATTTTGAAGTTATTCGAATTGCCAGGTAGGTACCAAGTTTATATATAAACGTACGTACGTTTACGTACGGTACGTATATATATAAAAAATCAATACTCGTCATACTGGTTTGAAAGAAAGAGTGGAAATTAATAGCCTTATTATAATAAAATTAAAATTCTGACGTCGTACGTTAAAGGATTTACAAAAAAAATGTCGTGAATCTTATGATTAATTGAAAGGGGGTTTAGCTTAAAAAAATTAGCTTTGATTACAGAATATCTTTGAAATAATGTAAATGTTGAAAATAAAATACAGTAAAAGCTTCTTATTCGCGCTTTCGTCATTCGCGTTTTCACAATTAGCGAATTTTAAAATAGGACTATAGATTTCTTTATTCACGGATCAAATCGGTACATCAGTACGTACACACACTGATAAAGAGGATTCCAACATGTAAGTATCCAACCGAATATCCTTTGTAAACATGTTATCAAATAGACTAATAAAAATTAAAATAGACCTTATTAAAATATTTTTAAAATATGTTGTTAAATGATATCGCTGTTACATGCAATTGTTTTTTAATTTTTCATCTAGGAACGTATAATCCCGTATATAAATATAAGGATATGAAATATTATAAAAATGGTTGAACAATAATAAAATACTTAATTGTGTTTTCTGTACAACATTAAGAAAACAACATTTAATTAATTTTATACAGTATTATTGAATTAAATAAAACTGAACTCCTCTTTTTTTCCTCAATGACAGAGATTTCAGTCAACTTATATAAGAAAAATCTTTTTTTTTTCACTAAAAAGTCAAGGGTTTTTTATAGAGTTTTATATAGAAATTACATAAAAAAAAGTTTTTCTTTACATGTAAATTACCCTTCCTATGAGGATTAACGGTTTCTGTATTTGTGGCACATTTACGGAACATGGTATGTACACCTAACGAATAAAGAGCTTTTACTGTATGATGATGGCGTATAGTAGCGTGGTTGTGTAGTAGAGTGAACACAAGCACCGGTCACCGTCCTCGTTGAGTCCGTCGCTTGCGATGAAGGGCTCGACGAGCGAATTAACCCACAGACTCAACCCACTGAGTTTCTCGCCGGATCTTCTCAGTGGGTCGAGTTTCCGATCCGGTGGTAGATTCTGGGAAGCACTGCTCTTCCTAGGGTTACTGTTAGCATCACTCCGGTTTGAGCCCCGTGAGCTCACCTACTAGTTATGGTTACACTGAAATAGCCCCTCAAGGCTATCAGCTTAGTAAAATGTGACCTGTTCGTCCGTCATGCCGCGGAAGGGGTCGGCGGGCGGTGGGCGCGTGCAGCCCACCACGGGGTCCAGCGCGTGCGCGTGCCGGCGGTACTCCTCCGTTTCCGAGTCGGAGCTGGACGAGTACAACGCGCCGCGCCCGCCCGCCAGCAGCCCGCGGCTCGCCAGGTGCCCGGCCGCGTTACCGAACCCAGTGTACTTCACCATGCGGCTCACTGTACGCAATCATTACTTCCTTCAGATACAACAATACACATTTACGCTTGAAAGGCAAACGTGACTAAGCGACAATAACTGCTTTATAAATAAACTAGCTGTACCCGTCCGTTTCGCTGGGCATTTAAAATTAACTGCATTATTTCTCACCCCCACAAAGATTCTCATCATTAACGCCCCCGCAACTGGTCTAGGGAGTCCAACACTCATATAAATATTAGCCTATCCGTTAAGCACATGTATTTTCTACATGGATACCAAGTTTCAAGTCAATCGGATGCATGGTTCAGTAGTTATACCGGAACATCGTACAACAACAACGTAGATTTATATATTAGTATAGATGATAGGCAATAACCACATTCGATGCCAAAAAAAAAAAAAAATCTAGGTCTATTAAAATCATTTCAATCCTACAGCTAGATTCGTTAAAATAGATTTTATTTCAGGTATTTCAACTTTAAATTAGTCTACTGTAAATTTCACGTCGTCGCTTAGTCACGTTTGCCTTTCAAGCGTCGAATTATGCTAAGATGGACGAACGAGTAAATGAACTGGCAATAGTGTTCACCACTCGCAACCCATCTTTTTTTTGTTCATGGTCATCAGAGTTACCTTTAAACCATCTGGCGCTATAACTATGTATATCGAGGGGTGAAGGTTTAAGCAACATTGTTGCAACTTTACGATATTACAAGTGGATGGTATCATTAAGTTTTTTTTTTTTTTTATATAAAAGTACCACTCGTAACTCAATAAATATGATTTCAAAATAATTTAATATCTCGTTTCGTTGTTTTTGTCATAGTTAATATTTATAATTTCTTTTATTTTAATAACTCAATCCTCAGTACTCAAGGCATACTCGATAGTTTAAAATTCTAGAAACTGAGCTGAGCGATTAAGGAGCTAAAAGTCGGCCACGAAACAAATGGGTTTTTAATTTGATTTAAACTATAAATTGTAACTAATAATGATAAAGCATCAATGAAATCATCCAGTCGTAGTGGTAAATGTTTTGCGACGTAATGGAATATACACTTCTTTTTTATCCACATCAAAATCAATACAAAAATGATGGAGTACTCAATTGTTTCTTTTTTTTAGATGGGTAGAACAGCCACCTGGTGTTAAGCGGGTACTGGAGCCCATAGACATCAACAATGTAAATACCACCACCTATCTTGAGACATGATTTCTATATCTCAGTTTTACCGTACAACAGCTGCTCGCCCTACAAGTCGAAACGCTTCATAACATAAATAGGCAGGGAGGTTTTACCTACCCTTGGGGGTCAACACAAGATTCCCATCCACCAGTAAAAAGTACAAGGAAAAATTAGTGCACAATACATCTCACTAATCTCTCGACGGCCCGTAATATCGGTGCGATCATAAACATTATCTGTATCATTTTCTGTTATTTAGCAACTATCGTCAGGCAGTTGAAACAACCCCTGTCATATCTGAACGGATTCATTAATTAAATCTACATCCATATTCGTCATAACCGAATGTTCTCAGTGCTTAGTGCGAATTTTTGAACTTCTCGATCGCGTAAAGCTGCCCTTCGTTTGCCACTAGGGGCGCTGTTCCAACTCCATACAAATCTGAGTTAACTTTTACGTGATCGAGAAGTTACTGGTGGTAGGACCTCTTGTGAGTCCGCAAGGGTAGGTACCACCACCCCGCTTATTTCTGCCGTGAAGCAGTAATGCGTTTCGGTTTGAAGAGTGGGGCAGCCGTTGTAACTATACTTGAGACTTTCGAACTTATATCTCAAAGTGGGTGGCGCATTTACGTTGTGGATGTCTATGGGCTCCAGTAACCACTTAACACCAGGTGGGCTGTGAGCTCGTCCACCCATCTAAGCAATAAAAAAAAAGCTAGATGTGTTCAGTGTGCTTAGTGCGAATTTTTAAAATTCTCGATACCGTAAAGCTTCCCTTCGTTTGCCGCTAGGGGCGCTGTTCCAACTCCATTCAAATCTTAGTTTTAACTTTTACGCGATCGCGAAGTTAAAAAACTCGCACTAAGCACACAGAATTAAGAATGAAATACTTGACATCAGTGGTACCTTTTTCCTTGCAGAGTACGAACAAGAACTCCGCTACCAAGTCCCTGACGCTGGTGACGGGCGTCGTCAGCAGCCGGCACAGGTGGTTCCGCAGCTCGTCGCCCTGCTCGGGGGGCTTCGACACGTCGCGGAGATGCGGCAGCACGGCTTTACGTAAGAACTTACGTTGGACGCGTACACGGGCACATTTATTGAGGACCGTCAATATCGGAGATAGTTTTTCGTACAGATTCTGTCGCTCCTATAAAAAAAAAAAAAAAATATTGCCCTTGTAGGCAGACGAGCAAACGGCCCACCTGATGGCGAGTTGTTACCGTCGCCCATGGACTTCAGGAATGCCAGGGGCAAAGCCAAACCGCTGTCTACCGTTTAATGCTCTCCACAAGCCTCGTTGGAAAAAGGACATGTCATAGCGCTCGGGAAACATCATAGAGGGGAGTTCATTCCAAAGCCAGATGGTATATGGCAAAAAAGATCTCTGGAATCGCACTGTGGATGAACGCAGTGGTTCTAGGTTCTAATCTAGAAATAACTTAGCACCTTTTATAGGAAGTGTCATATTAATATTTCATCATAATCATCATCAGTCTATAGCAGTCCACTGCTGGACATAGACCTCTCCCATTGCATGCCACTGAGCACAATAATAATATTTACTTTTTTATAATTGATGAATACCATCATTTAACTTGAAAGTTAAAACTGAGTAAATTATTTTTAATAGTATGTTGCATGAAGATCGGACTACATAAACAAAAATTTCAACATGTGGGCACGAATTAACACACTTCAGATAATGCTCAAATAACTTTAAAAACCAAGTACTTTATGGTAAATACCAATATTTAAGTATGCTGAAATATATGGGGAGGCAACTAAGTATACATTAACTTTGACAACTACAAGAAACATTAACTTTCCTATAATATATTTTGTAATAACATTGGATTACTTACATCGCTAACAGTTAGCTGATGTTTCAAAAATTGAAGTAGTATGACCAGTGAAGTCATATCTCTACCTTCATAAATATGGTCAGGCTTTTGTTTGTCTCCAATTTCTTCTGTCAGGGACATATAAAACAGTGTGTGGATGCTGAAATTTGAAAGTAGAAACATTGAACTGGTGGTTAAAAATTACCAGTGGCATCTTGTGAGTCCGCACAGGTAGATACCACTACCCTTCCTATTTCTGCAATGAAGCAGTCATGTGTTTTGATTTGAAGGGTGGGGCAGCCATTGTACTTTAGAAATTGAGACCTTTCATGTTTCAAGGTACCCACCTTGTTGACATGTAAGCTGTAGATGTCTATGGGCTCCACTAACCACTTAACATCAGGTGCACCCTGAACCCCTCCATCCATTTAAAAAATAATAAACTTTTATAATTTAATCTTTTAAACTTATTTTAATTGTTATCAAAAATATAATACCTTGTTAGTAGATTAACAATATTATTCATTAAATCTAAATCATTTGATTTGGAGGAGGTTTGTACAGTCAGTATCTTCCCAAGCACAGATACCAATTTTGTAAATTGTTGTTTCTCTTTCTCTGTAGTGGGAGCATCTTCATTAGGCAATATTATGAGGTTAAATAAAGCCTTCGATAACTCACACACAATTACTCGATCTTCATCCTGTAAGAGAATTTAAATATTTAAGCGTTTTAATTTTATGTAAAAATGCTTCTTTATTCATGTTTTAAAAGAAAATTTTACAACCATGTCAGATTAACAAGATATCCCAAAATTTAATGGTAACATTTGTAATCCATAATGCTATGAAACTTAATTTATATTAATTACTAAATTAGCAATGTTTATTACATTTATTTGTAATTTCAATTAATGGTATGGTGGTAACTAAATGACAAGGATTTTTTTCTCTGGTATATCTTTGCCTTTCACCTGGTTTTCATTGAGTTTTGAAATACCCTGTATATTTATATGTTTAATTAAAAGTATTAAATATCACTGATGAACAATTTACCTTATGAACAGCATTAACTGTTAATCATATTTTAATAGATTGTCATAAGCTTAATGTTATATGATAGGCACTACTAGCCAACATTTTACATTTAATAATCACAAGTGTTCATGTTTAAAATTTTCTTATAACTAGGTATACATGCTAGGTTAACTACTTATTTCCCAACATTAATTAAAAAACTTACAGTCAAGTAATGTTTTGGAGCATCTTCTGAATTGGCACTAACACTCGCCTCATCAGAACTAGATTGTAAACTTTCAGAATATATTTCAGTGAGATAATTAATCATATGCATTGCACCATCCTCGTGCCTAAATTTTAATCTTATGTTTTCTATTAATGCTGTCAGTATGAAGATCAATTTCATATCATACTGCATTAACTCTTTTTTGTAAGGAATATGTTTGCATATTTTCATTCGTGTGATAAGCCCATGTGCTATTCTTGTGTTTACACAAACATTACGAGCCAGTTCACTATTGAATGTAATATTACACAAACACTTCATAGCTTCAATCGCTACTTCTTTACAGGGCACGACTAATAGAGTTGGGTCCTTTTCAGCAGACTCCATAGGCTCTAACAAGCCTGATTTGTCGATTAATGTTATGACCCAACGTTCACATAGAACATTTTCAATGTCATCTTGGTCACGGCTAAAATTATACATAAAATTTAATTTCATCCTACATATACAGGATCTCAAGAGACTATTCCGAAAGTCGAAATGGTAATTAGTTACTATCAACAGTGAATAATTATAGAGACAAATATGTAATTATTTTACTTAAATCAATAATGAGAGTTATCATGTTAAATGTATTTTGGTATACACAGCATAAAGCAAAGGCAGGCCAGCAAATTCCCCCTTGTTCGCACGAGACCATACATTTCTTATATCAATTGAATTATAATTATTATAAAATGCCTATTATTAAAAAAAAAAATGATGGAAGGGTGTCTTGTGAGCCCGCATGGGTAGGTACCACCACCCTACCTATTTCCTATTTTCTTCTTTCAGAATCACCAGCTCTACTACATGGATTTTCAGGAATGGGTATTCCAGTTCCAATTGTTACAGTCAGTAGAATTTCAAAAAGATTATTATTGTTAGTTAACACAAACCTAAGAATCCTTAAAGCTTTTAAACATAGTGCATGTGTTGAAACCAAAGCATCATTTTGCAGGTGTTGAAAAAGTGTTGTCCACAGTAAAACTCTGTTAAATCTCTTCGTAAGTTCAGGAAATTTAAAAGTTTTTTCGTTCTGAGAAAATTAGATTATTAGATTAACATTCTGTTGGAATTACCAATATACCAAAGAATCCACAGAAATTATTCTCACTCACGTCTTTAACAAATTTCCGTAAAATATTCGTTATCTCTGTTGAGCTCTTACTATTTCTCAGGTCATCAATTTCCATTTCATCCATTTTCTGGTGTGTAATTCAAATTTATTCACTATTTAATTTAAAGTGTACACTCTAATTAACTTATTAGACTACCAATATCAATAAAGTTTTTAAATTGAAATTTCAAATCGAATTATCAAATGCAAATATTGACACCTATAGTCGGATTTTTAATTAGACGAAGCCAGCTGACAGTAGGTAATGTCACTTTGTGAAATAATGTTGCTATATTTAAAGTAATAGTGATGCGTTCAGTTCTCGTTCAATCACATGAATGAACAATGAGTGTGAAGAGTTAATCATTAATTTCAAACTATAAAAGAATATTACTTATATTTTACAATAAAATTGTATTAAAGTGCTCCAATATATGTTACTAGTAGTATGTAACTACAATCAGTTTTTTTATTTTCATTACATACCTATAATTGTTATATTTTATACATCTATAATTTCAACTGTAATATGATGTATTGGAAATAGGACAGTCTTACAAGCTTCCTCGCAATGTTTTTCTTAATGTTTAAAACACTCGGTATTCAGTACAGGTAGATACTATAGGAACATAATTTCGTCGAAAACTCGTTAGTATGTACAAAGCACGCCTAAAATACGAACCCCGTACCCGATATCGGCAATTCGGCACACCAACTATTCACTAGACAATCGAGGCAATTTCATTAATTCAGGAGTTTTTTCAATCGTTCACTTTGTTACAACACTATTTTTATTTCATCAAAACCTGACAACACAGTAAACGTCAGTTGACTTCGTCTAATAAAAAATCCGACTATAATGTAATATCGGAGTAGCACGTTCGTTTAAGTCACTTTAAGTAGGTTTAAAGTTTTAAAGGTACAATAATCAAATATTAAGTATATGTATGTATGTACTTACTACTACCTATTATAATGACAATAAGTTTAATATTATGTGTATAATCTATGTTTAAGCCACTGTTTTTTTAAGGGATTTTATGACCTGGTAACTAAGACCTTTAGGTCAAGTCGTTTTTGTTGAACAATGCCAAAAATATCAATGACAGTAAACTGTAATGCGTTCCCTTTAAGCAGTAACCAGTATAGCTAACTCTAAAGAAACGGCTTCGCACTTTACTAAATTGACGTCACACGTTGCAGTGCTCATAGTGCATAGACCTATATAGTAGGGACACGACATATTGTTCTATACGTACAATTGCTTATATAAATAGCACCCATTTTGAAGGCACATACATAAACATATATCTATCTCGTTCTTACTCAGCACTTTAACTCGCAGGAAAACAATATAACAGTATTTCAGTGCGTACATAAAATGAAACATGAATATACGTAAATATCT